GGGGGTTGGAACTGGATGGTCTTTAAGGTCCCTTCGGACCCAAACCATTCTGTGATTCTGTCTGTAGCCAGTGAAGGGGAAGGAGTTCCTTTCTCAGTCTTTTTTTTCTGAAACAGCTTCTCAAATGTTAAACCAGAAAAAGGTAGCTAAGCATTTTTAGGTAATCGTGCCCCCCTTTATGTCTCTGCTCTGACAGACCACATCCATCCTCACCTGGACACCCTCCAAGGCAAGCCAGAGAGCTGGAAGAACACAGCCAAATCTGTGCCCTGTCACAGTGACAGTCTCTGGCCTGTCACACAGGACATCAGCCAATGTGGCCCCACTGTGCAATGCATTGGGCACAGGCAGGGTGTCCCCCCAGCCAGGCTACTGTGGGCAGCGTGTCAGTGTCCATCCTTGTCCCTCTCATTGCAGGTGACCTCCCGCTGGACTTTCCGCTGCCCCGGGTGCCCTCAGGCGCTTTCTCACGACGACTCTCACTTCCATGAGCGACACAAGTGCATCAACTTCTTCGTCAAGGTGTACGGGTACATGCCCCTGCTGTACACCCAGTTCCGCGTGGACTCGGTCCTCTTCAAGACCCGCCTGCCCCATGACAAGACAAAATGCTTCAAGTTCATCTAGCAGCGGGAGACAGCCGGGCACTGCCGGCTCTCCGAGCTCCGGCCGAGGCGGGTGACGGAACAGGGTGGCTTTTCTGATGGGGCTGCGAGTGCAAAATGCCTTTTGCTATTGACTCCGGCCTCCCTCCTGCGGAGCAAAAGGGACATCCTGGATTTGGATGGGCACGTTTCCCTCTCCTTTCCCGCTCTGCCCACGGCAACTTGACCGAGCGACAGGGAACAGGATCTCACAGCTTCTGTAAAGACACTCCCTAGGATCGTACACTGAGGAATGGCACGTTGGCTGGTGGCTCTGCCCCTTCGCTAGCCAAGGGCAACCATTCTTTTTAATTATAATTATTGTTATTTAAAATGAAAGTGGTTTAGATTTGCCGCGTGAGGGTTTTCATTTTTTTTTAATCCTTTTCTTTTTCCCCCATTACTCACCCTATTTTCCCCTCTGGACCTGTCTGTCCGCTTGAGGGGGGGACTGTAGCAAAGCCAGGCTGGAGGTGTTTTACTGCAGAGAGGTTATTCCAACATCAAGGCAGCTCCAGACATTCCAACATCAAGGCAGCTCTGGTCACCATCATTGTCCCCATCCTTTCTCCCATGGGGCAGCCCTTCTCCCCTCTTGCACACCGTGTGCCCTGTGGCTACTACTGAGGACTTACAGGTGTCGTCTGCTGGTGATGAGCTCTCTGCTCTGCTCTGCTCGCCACCCTCAGCCCTGCCCTCGGAGAGGGGTGAGCGGGGATGGGGTTGTCCCTGGAGGTCGTTCCCTGGCTCCCAGCACCGCACTGGGCCCCAGGCCACAGCCCCACAGGAGTTCGGTTGCTTCCGTCTCAGTTCTCGGTGTCCTTTCCTGCCCCATGGGGCACACAGGCAGGCACTGCTAAGCCTCTGGAGACAGGGAGTGTGTCTGGGGCTTAGGGGTGATCCGTCTGCAGCACAGTGCGGGCTGGCGGTGCCCCCAGGCTCATGAATTCGGGTGGGCTGCCTTGGCCCGTGGTTTTCTACAGCTACTGCAGCACTGAGGGCAGCAGTGGAGAGTCTTGGGGTCTGGCCTGGGCTTTCCACAAGCGCTTTGGGACTTTTCCTCCTGCCCTTCAGGGCCTCATTCACTGGCCCTGGAGAGCTGCTCCAGCAGCACCCTGAGATCGGTTACACGAGCCTTTGCTGATAAAATAAACCTCTTTCCCAAAGCATCCAAGCGTGGACACCGTCTGCCGAGCGCCGGCTCTTCATGGTGCCTGATCCCTGCTGGGGGAGCAGGCACTAGTGCAGCTTTTGGTGCCAGTGTGATGGGTGTCGTGGTCTCAGGGCCTTCTCTTGAGATCAAATTGCATTTTGCAGGGTGGAGGAAGGAGAAGACACTAACCCTAATCTGTGCACAGCCAAGCAGAGCTGAAGTGAAATGCCTGCCTGCCCCAGAGCTGGGGCTGCACCATGGGCTGGGGTCTCTGCTCTGCCTCATCTCTTATCCCCTATCCCGGAGGAAAACTTGTCCACGTTGTGTTTGCCCACGGGCCTCAGAACAACTGCCTTAAACCTCATCCTGCCCTCCCCCAAGGTTAACCCCACCCAGAGCTTTCCCTCAGGGGAGCTGGGAGATGCCGCTGGGATCGTGCTCTTTTCAGCTTGTCCCTTCTTGTGCGATGTTCTCCCTCAGTGCATCCCAGATCCTGGCGGGTCTGATGGGAAGGTGAAACGTGTGATTCACCTCAATGTCCCTGGTTTTCCAAGCCCCGTGCAGCTCAGCATCCCCACGCCCTGCAGCAGCAGGATGTTACCGTGGTTGTGTCTCTGGTGTGTCCTGGAACAGGAGCAGGGAAGGGACCGTCAGCCTCTCCTGCAGCCTGCCCATTGGTTTGGGGTGTGAAGTGGCCTCTCCAGCCATGTCTCACCCACTTTTTCATGTCAGCCCCATGGGTGGGGAGCACCAGCAATTTGCTCCTTGTGAAGGGGAAGGGAAGGGGCAGCCTGTACCCAGCAAAGCCACTGGCTGCTGCCTTCACCAGCGCTACAGACTGCAGCGAAGTACGGATCACAGCGTCTTTTCCTTCCACTCTTCTTGTTCTCAAAACAGAGCACAGGAAAGCTCGCAGTCTCCTTAAAAATGTGACTGGAGGCTCCTGCAAGGCCCCAGAACACCGGGAAGGGTATTTTCTACTCAGACTGGAAACATGGCACTCGGCACCATCCTCAGCATCGCTGAGGGGCCTGACCCTGCTCTGCTGCTGGCTTTAATTCTCCCCTCATTAATGGGTGCCTCGTTAGCGGTGATGCAGTTGCTCACACACAGCACAGGTCCCTGTGTCAGCCAAGGGTGGAGGCAGCTCTGCCTTTCCCAGCCCCCTGCCCGCAGAGCTGGAGTCACACAGGAGCGGTGCTGACATGGATTGCACGTTATAGAAATAGAGCCACTTCTCCGCAGCTTCAGCATCAAAAATCTTGAGGGGAATTTTATTATTCTGCTGAGAGACGGTAGCACAGGGAGCCTGGAAAAGGTGGGAGTGATGAGAAGTATTTGCATCATGGGGACTTGGGAGTCACTGAGCCTCATTGCTTTGGCTGCAGCTGGAGCCAGCAGCAAGCCCGAGGCTGGGGGTTTCTTCTTCCCATTGGTGCATTTCAGTTCAAGGCCAGTGGAGATGTAGAGCTCAGCGGTGGAAATCCAGATTGTTCTTCCTGCGCTCACCTCTTGCCCAAAGTGTTTGGGTTTTGGAGGATCCCTGGTGCTGCAGTAGCCAGGGTCAGGCTTGGAGCCCTGTGGTTGAGTGGGGAGAGGCTGCGTGTCAGATCATGGTGCATGTCATGGGATGGTTTCCTCCTTGTGAGGCCCCCTGAAGGGAAAGGATTTGGAGGTGAAGGGGTGCTGTGCGTTACTGGTGGCAGCTGCTCGGGGAGGGACATGCTGGGCAGAAGCAGTGTAGTGGGAGATGGAGTCCCATAAAGCCAGCAAGAGCATCTTCCCCACACGCCGGGCTGGTGCTGCCATTCCCAACCCGCTGCTGCTGTGGCTCTTTCCCAAATCTCCCTGTATCACTTTGGAGTAAGAGACTCGTGATTCACACCCCAGCTCTCTGCTCCTGAGACACCCCAGGATCTGAGCTGCCCTTGGGCTTTGTTCCACCATCAGGGAGGAGAAGGGCATTTCCAGAGAGCGCTCCTGATGTGCCCCTGTCCCTAACCTCCTCCTCTGCAACCTGTCGCTCTCCTGTGATTCCCAGGGGATCCCAGGATAACTCTGAAGCTCAGGTCAGGTTGTACAGCTTATCCCAGCTCCAGCACAGAGCAGCCCAGGACACGCGGTCTCTGCCAACCCAGCCCCAAGGAGCCAGGAAGGCCTCTCAGCGGCTGCGCCTTTCCCAAGGGAAAGGCCTTTTCCCCTTTCCCATGTTTCTGCTGCTGCTCCCAGGGCCGGGGGTTGCAGGTGCCAGGTGCGGAGTGAGGTTTTTTGTCACATTCACTGTAAATAGCATCGTCTGCGGTGACACGGAGCCCCTGGGCCCCACTGGTGTCACACAGCCCCTGTTCCCCCCGCGCCGTGGTCGTGAACCTGCTCCGTGAGCACCAGGTTTGAAGTGAAACCAACAAAAACTGAGAGGAAAGAAACACTCCATCAACACGAGCACAATGTCGAGTTTTTTGTAAAAGGATCCAATAAATGGAGAGTTTAACTTGAGAGTGCCTGGGTGTCTGCTTCATGGGTGGCTGGGGGAGAGGGGTTGGGGCCAAGCAGTGCTGCTCTTGGGGCACCCTGAAAACACAATCAGTCACAGAATCAATCACAGAATCCCAAGTTGGAAGGGATCTCAAGGATCATCTTTCAACCTTTCTAGGCAAAGCATGACCTAGATGGCCCAGCACCCTGTCCAGCCGAAGCTTAACAGTGTCCAATGTTGGGGAGTCACCACTTCCCTGGGGAGATTATTCCAATGGCTGATTGTTCTCATGGTGAAAAATTTTCCTCTCATGCCCAGTTGGAATCTCCCCAGGATTAACTTGTGCCCATCATCCTTCATCTTTTCCACGGGACTCCTTGTAAAAAGGGAGTCTCTGTTCTCTTTGTAGCCACCCTTTAAATACTGGAAGGTGGGGATAAGGTCTCCCCTGAACCTTCTTGTCAGCAGGCTGAACAAGCTCAGCTCTCTCAGCCTTTCCTCACACATCTGCCCAGTCCTTGGATCATCTTTGTGGCCCTTCTCTGGACCCTCTCCAGCCCAGCCACATCTGTTTTATACAATGGGGACCAAAACTGCACACAGTATTCCAGGTGCAGACTGACAAGCACTGAGTAGAGTAGAGCAATGACATCTTTATCTCTGCTGGTGATGCCCTTGTTGATGTTCTCCAGCATTCTGTTGCCTTTGCTTGCTGCAGCCACACACTGTTCACTCTTATTGAGCTTGTGTCCCCCAGGTCCCTTTCCACAGAGCTGCTCCCCAGCCGGGCAGATGCGAGCCTGTGCTGCACCCCTGCACTGTGCTTATCCAAGGACACTTGTCCTTGTTGAACTCCATAGGGTTCTTGTTAGACCACTCTTTCAGCCTATCCAGTCTGTCCTGCAGGGTGACTCTCCTTCCCAAGTGTCCACTTTCCCACTCGCTTCCACTTTGCCTTTTTTTCATTTCCCTATATGAGGGTTTGTACCTTGGGATGGGGGAACAGAGGAGAGAAGAAAGGGATAAATGCCCTTAATAATTCATTCCCTTCTACCAGGACAGAGGGCAGGAGAAGTGCTTTACACTTTCCACTCCACTCCTCCACACTAAGTGCCCTCAAGGTTCCCTTGCAGATGACACATTTCTCAATAAAAAGCAATTTCACTGATGTTGCTTCCCGTGTTTCTGCCCATCAGTGCCATAAAAGCAACCAGGTCCCACGAGATGGAGAGCATCACACCTTCCCACAGCCCAGCCGTCCTGAGACAGGTGGGAAGAGGGAAATTACTAGGTTTGATTTGGTCTTTTTGCCCCCAGCTGGAAATGCAGAATAACCATCCTGCTGGACATCAGC